CAGTCAGACAACATGGAAGGCAATTAAGGTGGAGGCAGGCGACTGTGGTTAGTCGGAGATTTGGTGCATACCGTGTCACAGTGTGATAACGGCATGCATTCTGTGCTGAGAAATTGGCTGCGCCTCGGTTGGATAAACGAAAGTCGTGACGGTGTTGGCAGGATACACGGGGTGTAGCGCTGTCTGCAAATGCAAGAGAGACTTGAATGACCTGTTCTGGCTTATAAGCAGTCCTCAACCGGCCATACATAACGCGTCTCTTGGTGACTTCATTGTCAGACAGCCTGGCCACTGAGTAGTTGGTGTTGCGTCCTATTGCCGGCAAGCACAATTATGCGCGTGATCGCGAAGTTTGATTCAAGGTCTCCTCACAGGATGTGAGTGGAATTTGTGACGATATGTCACCTCTCCGACCCGTCTGATGAAAGTCTATAACTTGTGGACTGAGTTGTCATTATTTCCTGTCCGTATATTTGTGAAGACGTTTATGCATCCAGGCTCTCCTTCATCTACATGGCTGAGGTACACATGGAAACTGTAGGACGACGGGGTTCCAATACACAAGCCAGCAGCAATGCGTTCATTTGTTTTGAATAATCAAATTGTCAAAAAGCTTATGGCTCTTTCCCGTTTGCTTCGCGAGGGCACTGGGGTCGCCTTGGCTAATGCAGCTGTTAGGGTATTTATTACTTTTTGCAGGTTTTGCGGACATGCAACTTTTTCTGTACTCCTCCGCCAGCTGAACTTACTACAATGCCTTAACTCAAATGCGATTTTGCACTGTTCGGTGATTGTTATGACAGCAACGAACGGGAGTTTTGTTATTCGCATTTCATACACCGCTTTGCTTATTCCACCACTGCCAGAGGCAAACGTTCGGCATCCTTGAATTAAAATGTAAACAGGATATCCAGAGGCTGGAAAACAGCCACATGCATTCTGATTTTCACGCCCTTCACCACCTCAGACATGACAATCGCGTCCTCTATGCATCGGCGTCAAAACGCAGGTTCGTATTGGTGAAAAGAACCTCTTCTAGCTCTCGTAGGACCAACTGTGGAACAAGACTGGGTAATGGCGTATCTGTGACCTGCTTGCATTGCCCCCCCCCTAAAGTTGGAAAGCGAATATTTGGAAGTGTATGAAGTATTTGCGCAAATTCATCGTTTAGAGTTTTCGTCGTTATTTGCCGAGACCTTTACGTAGTTTCCGTGCCAGGTTCCGTAGGATAAATTTGGTTACCGAAATCACACCGAAGAATACTGTGCTTATCTCAGGTTTGACACTATTGACATGTTTTGCTAATCCTCGACGATTTTTTACAAACGTGTAGATTTCGCACAAACAAAGTAGCGGGGCTGCCTTCTAGGCAGGCAAATAGCTAGTTGTAACGGTGTGCTTGTGGATTTTGTGTAATGTGTTGCTTACATGCAGACAGGGTGCGATCTACTACTCAGCTAATTAAAAAACGCGGACATTACGCTCTGACACGGTGCACAGATAGCTTTTGAGAAAGGAAACATGATCGCTAGGGCAAAAGCTTTACTAGCCTGACGTTTCCGATTTCTGCTCGAACCCATAATCAGAGACAAAAGTAGATACGGGTTGGACAACCTTTACTGTTTGAGAAGTGCGTACACAAAGGCTCTGTAGGCAGTCGCCGCGAGCGCGCTCCAAGCAAGTTGTTGTCTGTGTCCGACTTCGAGGTGGTGAGACCCATCGCGTGTGTGCGTCTCTCGATGTCTCCGCGTCCACCAGCCAATCAGAGGGGGACTGCGATGATTGGCCTGGAGCACTCGCGTGGCTGGTGAGGAGCCTGGCGTATCGACAAGGAGTGTGAGGCGGACAGGAAGGCAGCGTGAGCAAGGAGGCGCTAACTGCCACACGTACACTGACTGACCGATCTCATGAAATGATGGCTGGAATTCTGAAATGCGTTTTCGTTATGGAAGGATTACTTATGCGCGGTTATAATACGGATTATTCTGTGGTATAATCCTATAATATTTTGCACTTGACAGGACGTTGGCTTTTGAAGGATCCGCTTTCCACTCTCCTATGGAAACCGTAATCGGTAAAATATGACTTCTTACGTAGCATGCATTTTCCCATTGATTTTCGGTAGTCTTGCAAATTCAACTATATCTTAGAGAAACCACGAATAAAAATGTTGTTTAAGTCCTTTGCGGTCCACTATTCAACCAATTATAAACGCGGTCACTACACTCTGACACGATGCACAGATGGCTTTTGAGGATGGAGACATGGTCGCTTCGGCAAAAGCTTTATTAGCCTGACTTTTTGAATTTCTGCTTGAACCCATCATCAGAGACAAAAGCAGACACGGGTTGGATAACATTTACTGTTTTGGAAGTGCGTACACAAAGGATCTGTAGGCAGTCGCCGCGAGCGCGCTCTCCAGGCGAGTTGTTGTCTGTGTCTGCCTCGAGGTGCCGAGAACCATCGCGTGTTCGCGCCTTTCGTTTTCTCCGCGTCTGCCAGCCAACCAGATGGGGACTGCGTTGATTGGCCTGGAGTTATCGCGAGCCTAATGACAAGCCTCGTGCCTCCCAGCAGCGTATCGAGAGAGTAAGCGTGGTAAAGGCAGAGGGCAAGAAGAAAAAACCGCCGCACGTGCACCGAGTGGGCTATCTCAAGAAATGGTGGCTGAAAGTCTGAAATGCGCTTTCGTTTGGGAAGAATAACTGAGGCGCGGTTTTAATGCGGATTTTTCTGCGGTATAATCCGATAATTTCTTGAACTTGGCGGGATGTCGGCTTTTGGATGCATTGCTTTTTAGTCTTCTATAGAAACCGTTATCGGTAAGATATGAATTCCAGCGTAGCATGCATTTTTGTTCATTGATTATTGATGGTCTTGCAAATGTAAATATATTCTTGACATGCCGCAATCAAAAATATGTTTTTGGCAGACATGTGCTTTCTTTGAGTCGTTTTGTAGAGAATCTCGTCATCTCCATATTTTATACTTAAAGAGAGAGTATAATTAGGTTTTAGAAAATGTTTCTTATTGCTGAATAACAAGTGAAAGAGATAGTTTAATTAACTATCACAGAACGTTCAAGTAATTTACATTTAATAGCCACATTTTCGATGCTGGTATTCAGCAAAAGCATTCATGCCATTTTTACCAAGGCCTTTGATAAAAGACCATATATCGGACTCAAGTGAAAAAATGCTATTTAGATAAGACAGTTATCATATTCGGTTTTTGACCTGAATCAAAATACAGGAAAAGAGGCGGGAAAGGCGACGATGATTCCCATTTCCCCATTTTGATATCCGGTGAAAATTGCATGATCTATGTCGTTAAAGCACCAAAAGCGATCCGCCTGGAAACCGAACACATTTAGAAATAAGCAAACGCATGGCATAAACAGCAAATTAAAAGCAAAGATCTTTTAAAAAGTTTCCATTTAAGAGAACATAATAAATGCTCCAAACGTCTTCAGACGTCAGGTCATTAGAAAGGATGTGCTCGCATGTTATTAACTGATAACAGGCTCACCTGTGTTACAGGACGTAAAGCTAGATCCACGTGGATTTACCACATTCCCGCTCAAGACCGACTACGATGTAATAGACTGTCACATTCAACAGTAAGATAATTCTCAGCGTAAAAATCCAAAAGAATTCACAGTTTACTTGCGGCTGCCGTATGCCAATAAAAGGCAAAGTGATGTTTGAGTTCGACGCTAAATCCACAACGGGCTCATCGACGCCTGTAATGAAAACAAAACTGTTTGAGTTCACAGACGGAACCACATACGTCTATTGTTTGACCTTAAACAAAGATCACAAACGTAACAGTAGGACATTATTTTAGCATTTAACCTACCGAGCACACAGGCGAAAAGGGCAGGAAGAATACTTGCGAGGAACCTATTCGCTAAAAGCAAATTAATCAGGAACTAAGGCAAGAGGGTATATTTACTTATAGGTTGAATTGAGTAAATATTCTCAGGGAAGTTTACGGCTGCAACTTACTTTGCAATGCACAGTGCTGACGCAGGCGTATTCTCCGCGTATTAAAAATGTGCATGTGCGTCATAAGTTACGTGCGTCATAAACAATCGAATGTTGGAAACCAGGATAGTATTTTAGCGTGTTTGGGTACACTGGGTTTTATTTGCTTATCACAGAAGTATGAATTCAAAGAGTCTGAAAAAGAGGAAAATACAAATATCAGAATACAGGCATCAGCCGCTTGCTACATAGGGTTGCGTGAACACTCTAATTATACTTATAAAAATTGTGAAAGAACTTGAGGAACAAACTCGCGAAGAAGGCTTGCATCAATATAGCTTCCACTTGGGGTCCCCCGATTTGCAATTCTTCCTCGACCCCATCAAGTAACTCGGCTTCGTTTTGACGTCATTGGTCGCCATCCAGATCGGCCATCAAACGGGTGCCTGCACCAAAATATGTGTCGCAACTTTGTCCGTTCCTTGCCCTAAATAACTAATATAGCGCTTTCCTACCATAGCCTCGACCCCAAGCTGCCAGTTTTTATTGCTGTAAATGCACCTAACCACGGACTGTGTGTCGGCATCTCACATAACTTTCCTTGGTAGTCTGAAACAGTGATCATGCATGCATATATCAAGCTTACTCCTGCGAAGAAGAACTATGGGAAAATAGAGAAATCCGTTCTTGCCCTCGTGTTTGCCGTCAAGAAATTCTGCAGTTTTCTTGTTCGGACGTAATTGCACGTTGTTGTCAAAATATACGATTTCCTTTCTGCAGAATGTCTGCAGCTTGTAGGCTGAAATTGCTTAGCGCTAATGCGATAACTAATCAGGCTGCAAATAAATCGGCAATTAGGAAAATTCTCTGAAAACTTATTATGCTCTATCTTCAAGTAAAAATATGGAGTTTACGTGATTCTCGATCAGATGACAGAAAGAAAGCATTTTATTGCTAGCGGTTCTCTAAAATATATTTGAATTTGCAAGATCATCGAAAAGAAATGGAAAATGCATGCTACGTAAGTAGTCATATCTTACCGATTAAGAATTCTATAGGAAGTTGAAAAGCAATGTATTCATAAGCGGACACCGTGCGAACTCGAAAGCACATTTCAGAATTTTAGCCATCATTTCATGATATCGGTCACTCAGATGACCGATCGGCTTATGTAGATGCACGGCTATTTCGCGCCATCTATTTCAGCGCTCTCAACTCCCTCATCTTCCCTTTAGTCTCCCCTTTCGCATTTGGAGATCGAGCTTAGCAAGCTGGCCGAGTAATAGCTGATCGTCTGTGCCGCAATACAGGTCTTATCCTACCTGCCGTCAACACCTCGTCTACCACCACCTTTCGCACCTTCTCCCTCTCTCTGGACGTCGGTTTCCTGCGTTTTTTCCCTCAGGTGTTCGTCGTTCTTAGCACCCTCTGTGCCATTGTCGTTGCAGATTTCCTCACCGCTTTTGAGCTTCTAGTCGACTGCCGTCATGCACTTCTACACCTCAAGACCACCAATCTCGCAGTCCGGGGTATCTCTTTCTCCGACGCTTATGTTCAATTTGCCGTCTCGGACACTGAACACGAGAATTCATTTCGGCAAATCCTCGGCAAATACGCCCGTCTCACTCGTCCACCACACGACGGCCCTCACCACATCCGGACCACTGACCCTCCCGTGTATTCTCGGCCCATCAGTCTCGCGACTGCACGTTTTGCTGCCACGTATGCAGAGTTCGAGCGCATGCTTCAGATGGGCATCATTCATCAGTCTGAAAGCCCATGTTTCTCGCCCCGCCAATTTCTCCCAAAGGCTGACACTGGTGACTGGCAGCCCTGCGGTGATTACAAAGACCTGAACAACGTTACTCTCCCGGATCGCTACCTTGTCCCACATCTACAGTATTGTACCACATACCCATTCGGCATGTCTGTATACTCGAACATTGATCTGGTCCTCGCTTTCCACTAAATTCACAAAGTTCCAGAGGATGTGTCGAAGACGGCCGTTACCACCCCTTTGAACTTTTTGAGTTCCGCTTATACCGATTGGACCCCGCAAGGCCTCCCAGACCTTCCGAATGTTCGTAGTCAAAGTGCTTTGCGATCCACCATTTGTCTTCGCCTGTTTCGACGACCGTTTGGTAGCCAGTTCCACCGCCGACAAACACATGGATTATCTGGCAGCGGTAATTGACCACCTTAACCAATTTGGCCTTGTTCACAATCCGTCCAAGTGCGTTTTTAGCGTTTCCTGCCTAGAATATCTCCGTCATCTGATCGCCTCCCACAGCATCCATCCTCTTCCCCGAAGGTTGCGGCCATCCGTGATTTCACTCCCCTCCCCTTCTCCTAACGTCAGCTGCAGCTATTTCTGGTTGTTAAGAATTTCCACAGCCGGTTCCTCCCGCACTGTTCCGACAATATCCTGCCGCTAACGAGCCTCCTCTCGGATGCCAAATGTTCGTTCGAGCTGTCTGCAGACGATCTAACTACTTTTAAAAAGGTCATGTCTGCCATGGACGACGCCAACCTCCTGACCCATCTTTCTCCCAATGCTCCCATCTCCCTTATAGGTGACGCCTCCACTGTTGCAGTAGGTGCGATCCTCCAGCAGTACCTTGCAAGTCGTGCCCACACCCTTGCCTGTCTTTTCCAGGAATTTATCACCTGCCGAGACGCGATATAGCATATTTGGACGGGAGCTCCTTTCTGTCTACCCCGCCATAACATACTTACGGCCCCTACTTAAGGGCGCGGACATCATTACGTTCATAGATCACAAGTCCCTTTCGTTCGCTCTCAAGTCCACGTCTGGTAAGCTTCTGAAAGGATGGAACTGAATACGGCTGACCATCAATCGGAACCAGTAAATATTTGGTATGCTGACAGAGTTCAGGTATGTAAAAAAGTTTAACATATAACCATTTTAGTATAGACGTTGGGTTAACTTTGACCTCTTCAAAACATTTCTAGCGTCATATCGTCTAATTAATTCATATTTCAGAAAACAACCATTTATGAAGATTTAGAGTTCGGGAAATCTTCTTATCGGCTTATGAATAAGCACCTCTACGTTGCCCCACATCGTAAGTCTGGACAGTAGTCGTGTATTATATATGCTTTATGAACTAAAGTGCAGTTGAGATTTTCAGTTTTTAATTTCATTATTAATTTCATTACATTTTATAGGAAAACAAGCTTTGACACCGATTAAAAATAAATGTTAACGACAGTCTAATAACATTGCAAGAATTTTAGTTCTTTTCTTTATATTTTAAGTAAGTTATTAAAGGGAAATCGATAGCAGATAATAAGAAACTAGGTGAAACTTCGGAAAATCGTGGTCAACCGTCGACAAAAACATCGATTTTTACATTCTTTGTGTTTTTAAACTGACAATAAGATCAAAGTTTTGAAATCGAGAGAAAAAAATGACGTTCATGAATTTTCTACGCTTAAGCTTACAGTAAATGCATTTTTTGTTTCGTTGCCCACACTGCGTACGAGTTAGTTCAACACCTTATCTAACAAATAAGGTTTCTTCCAATAACCAACAGTCTACGAGGACACTAAGGGAACGCCAAATCTTGTCCTGACCGGACGACTTGGAAATACACCGATGGAGTACAAATTTATGTTTTCCAAATCCCGCTGTCTGGTAATAGAACTGGTTCCAATTTATGGTCCAAGTTTGTTTACCAGAACAATTCGTGTTGCCATTAGCGGAGTGCTCCATCTGAAGCCTTGGAAAATCCTACTATGCCTCTTGCCAGCTATCATAACAACAGCAATGCCTTGAAAGTGCCTGTTGCTATATCTCCTGTCTGTTTCTTGATATATTTAAATATACGCTAATGGAAGCTTTGTGCTACAGTTGTTACTAAACACTAGTAATGACTGTCTACCTGTTTTGCAAGCTTACAGGGAGGCACATCATATTCAACTCCATAGATTCCCAGGGCTGCAGGGAGGGAGGGAGTAAGTGGATTTTCTTAATCACCTTTATGAATCTTCGGCAGGGCATAAAGCCTCACGGATATTGCAAACTGGCTGGCAGAAAGGTTCAGGCTAATTCAACATACAGTAGCTACGCGTAGAAAAGTTCCTTCCTTAGACAATGCTTTTTTCTTTCACTAGCAGTTCTGTCAAGGAAAAGATAGAAAACTTGTGTAGCGAGAGAAGATGTGCAGAAAATCAATCCAGTAATTTGTGGACACTTAATGAATGACACCTTTCAATAATCTTCCTGTTCATATGAGGAAATTGTAACATATACGGGCCAATCCATTTACCAATTTGATGTGTGGGAAACGGACTGACAGAAGAGTGGTTTTAAGCATTCCGAGCTACACATCAGGTATACCTAAGACTGACGCTTTAGCACTTTGCAATCAGAACGATTATCATATAAACTTCAGAGAGGCTTACATCTGGGCAACTAGTCTGGAAAAACGTCTGCCTTTTCACCTAGACATGCCAGACATTCGGCCCATGTTAAAGAGCAAAGGTTCGAAGGCTTCGTCACAAGAATCAAGTTTTCATGCATATTGATATACAATCAGGTGGAGGATAGACTAACCTGACTCCTTTATCTTTTGCTTTTCCGTCGACACTACCTTATCGACGGTGTTGTCACCCTACACTGGTGGCGGCCGTTTCTAAGCTGCGCCAATCGCGCGAACACGTATTTCACACCATAAAGCATACAGGCTTGTTTAGTCAGACTGTAGTAAGTTTCTTGTAAGAAGCGAGGATGCGGCGTGTGTGAATGTGTTTACTTGGAGATGGTGGTACTGCTTCCATGGCGCCTTTCTTTCCAACAATTGAAATCTGCCGCTGACTGCAGCCGCTTCTGCTGTAGCCAACAAGCGCTGCACAAGTAAATTTGAATAGCTTTAGGTGACCTTGTAAATCCCCCTTAAGGCCTCTCTGGCGTTAACACGGTGGTCTGTGCCACCATGTACGCGAAGGTCGAGCTGTTGATGTTTCTATATTTGACCCTGTGCAAACCATGCTGCAAAGTCTTTTTTTAGTCTTTTGGATAAACGGCGGCTCGTACGACTAATATATTCTGTCCCACAGGATCATATGAAGGAGAAAATACGCATAGGGGTGGTCTGAGCTGGTGGTTTGCTCTTACCCTCTCCAAATAGGATGGTGCTTATGGAAAACGGTATAAGGGTGTCAGCCACTGGAAAGGTCTGTGATACAGCTCGCGTTAGGCGTCTTCTTACAAGTTCAATTGACGCGTTTCCTTGAAATGAGATCTTGATTAAGAGCCTTTTATTTCCTGCCGTCCTTATAGGGGGGGGGTATTGTGGACTTTCGGCCATGATTTTAGCAATTAATCGAGCAGGTTGCTTGTTCTGGCGAAAAGACATGCGATGATCTTGAGATCTTCCTTAACGCTATCAGCTGAGAAGCTTCCTCTTATTCTTTATATTGAACAGTGACAAAATTAAGTTTAATGTTTAGCTGTACGAAGATGCCAAAATGGGTGTATTCGGCAAAGAAGGTAGTGTTCACACGGACTAACGAGGTATATCTCACGAGCCCCTAGCCTTAAAGGCAGCAAGTAAAACTGACAAAAGTGCACGGCTGCGGAACACGCCAGAAAGACGGGTTCTAGAGGTGTGTCGCTTTCCGCGCACATTCAAACTAGCAATCAGAGCAAAGAATACAGGAATAAATTATGATAGGTAAATTAGTCCTGTACCTCACCAAATCAGGGCTCAGATTCCATTTCTGTCAGCGGCTTCGGGAGAAGGAGGAGGGATGGTTCTGGAAATTAAGTATGTCTCTGTTTCGTCGCTGTAGTGCGACGTGGTAGGAGCTATGAACGTGCCTGCTGGGTTAGATTTTCTCCAGGAAGCCTAAGCGCTTTTTCAAACTCCGTCTGAGAACATGGTTGAATTGGCTAGCCATACGATCATTGCGTCAGCCGTCGCATGCATCCGATGACGCAGGAACTTAGAACGTCTCGCCGACACTTGATTGATGACTCGGAATGCTATCGTCGACCAAGTGAGCTACAACTTGATTTGGCCAGGCAGAATGGTTCTCTAGCATCCGCCTGGATAGGTGCATGTTGTTTCGACTAAGATAATATGTCATATAGGAGCAAATGAATGCGTATGTACGCAGTGAAGAGTTCTGAAAAGTCAGTATATCCCTGCCTTCAAGACGGGACGCGCAGTGTTAGTGAACACCAGTCTTATCTTAGCGGCTACGGACGTGCGAGGGCCACTGACGTTTAAGCATTGACGTAGAAGATCGTATGGTGATCACAAAGAGACGCAGTGTGAGAAATAACTCGTTGTGTTCGACCTTCACATGTATAATTTTTAAAGGCGTCCATCCATGTATTTGTAGGTTAACCTTGCAGGAATGCAATTTTCTCGCAGGCGTATATATTGGCGAGTTCAGTATCAAGCCTTTTCAGAGTGCATATTCTTTTAGATCGATTAGTACAGCAGTGGACCGAGCCTTATTTCTGACTTAGAGTTACGCAAATGCGGATATTTGCAAATGTCTCTACCTATGCTTTCTTAATTACGAAATAGACGTCCAGGTAGAGTTTTCCCTCTCCGTTCTCTGTTTGGTAAAGTATAGATCAACGCTGGGCGACCCTGGTTCACTATATACAGAAGGGTGTTCTAATCGGGTTTCTTATCAGCTGTTGCCAAAATACCATCAGCATATATAACACAGAAATAAGAGTCAGAATAAAAGGCAGCGAGGAAACATTGCTTTCGATAACTTCTAGTCATGATAGCGCAGATATATGGGACGGACTACAGTGGGTGGAAGAAGATCGAAAAAAGTTAGTTTTTAAAATGCAGGCTAGGCAAGAGCAGAAGGGCGCAGAAAGTAGTATGTGGCTATTCAAGCATTAACCACGGTGTGTACGGAGCCTGAACGTGGTTGTTCTCAGTTCCCAAGGTCAGTTTTCGTCAGCTGATGGCGAGT